CTAGGGTGCCCCCTTCCCCACGTATATAAAGGAGGGAGGGGGAGGCCGGTCGGCCCTCATGCATAGGCGCGCCAAGGGGGGAGGAATCCTCCTCCTAGTAGGAGTAGGACTTCCCCCTTTCCTAGTCCTACTAGGAGAAGAAGAAGGAGGGGGAAAGAGAAGGAAGGAGGGGGCGCTGCCCCTCCCCCTAGTACAATTTGGACTAGGCCCATGGGGGGCCAGCCCTTAGCAGCCCCTCTCTCTCTCCTAGGCCCAATAAGGCCCAATTCTTCTCCGGTGGTTCCGATATTTATTCGGTAACCCCCAGAACTATTCCAGTGTCCGAATATAGTCATTCAATATATGTCTTAACCATTTCGAGACTCCTCGTCATGCCCGTGATCACATTCGGGACTCCGAACTACCTTCGGTACATCAAAACACATAAACTCATAATACTGATCGTCATCGAACGTTAAGCGTGCGGACCCTACGGGTTTAAGAACTATGTAGACATGACCAGGACTCACATCTGGTCAAATACCAATAGCGGAACCTGGATGCTCATATTGGTTCCTACGTATTCTACGAATATCTTTATCGGTCAAACCGCATAACAACATATGTTGTTCCCTTTGTCATCGGTATGTTACTTGCCCGAGATTCGATCGTCGGTATCTCAATACCTAGTTCAATATCATTACCGGCAAGTCTCTTTACTCATTTTGTAATGCATCATCCCGTAACTAACTCATTAGTCACATTGCTTGCAAGGCTTATAGTGATGTGCATTACCGAGAGGGCCCAGAGTTACATCTCCGACAATCGGAGTGACAAATCCTAATCTCGATCTATGCCAACTCAACAAAGACCATCGGAGACACCTGTAGAGCATCTTTATAGTCACCCAGTTACGTTGTGACGTTTGATAGCACACTAGGTGTTCCTCCGGCATTCGGGAGTTGCATAATCTCATAGTCATAGGAACATGTATAAGTTATGAAGAAAGCAATATCAATAAACTAAACGATCATAGTTCTAAGCTAACGGATGGGCCAAGTCAATCACATCATTCTCTAATGATGTGATCTCGTCCATCAAATGACAACTCATGTCTATGGCTAGGAAACTTAACCATCTTTGATTAACGTGCTAGTCAAGTAGAGGCATACTAGTGACACTCTATTTGTCTATGTATTCACACATGTACCAAGTTTCCGGTTAATACAATTCTAGCATGAATAATAAACATTTATCATGATATAAGAAAATATAAATAACAACTTTATTATTGCCTCTAGGGCATATTTCTTTCAATTTTTGATCTTCGACATCACCAACCCTTCTCCATCGCTAATTCCATGACGTTCCCCACCGGGAGTGAGTATTTCCTTCGTAGGCTCGCTGGTCGGTGAGGATTTGGATGAGATTCATCATGCAATCGAGTTAGTTTTGTTAAGGCTTGATCCCTAGCATCCATTATGTCTAAATTGATGTTGCTATGACTTTGCCATGCTTAATGCTTGTCACTTTGGGACCGGGTGCCATGATTATAGATCTGAATCGTTTATGTTATCACCATTATATCTATGTTCTAGATCTGATCTTGCAAGTTATAGTCACCTACTACATGTTATGATCCGGCAACTCTGGAGTGACAATAGTCGGGACACTTCCCAGTGATGACCGTAGTTTGAGGAGTTCATGTATTCACCGTCTGTTAATGCTTTGTTCCAGTTCCTTATTAAAAGGAGGCCTTAATATCCCTTAGTTTTTCCAATAGGACCTCGCTGCCATGGGAAGGTAGGACAAAAAATATCATGCAAGTTCTTTTCATAAGCACGTATGACTATTTATGGAATACATGCCTACATTATATTTATGAACTGGTGTTAGTGACGTATCGCCCTAGGTTGTAACTGTCACATGATGAATATCATCCAACAAATCGCCGATCCAATGCCTACGATTTTCCTACATATAGATCTTGCTAAGTTACTACTGTTGTTGTTACTATTGTCACTACTGTCACTACTACAAAACTATTACTATCATTGTTACCGTTACTGTTCCTGCTACCACTACTATCAAAACTATCATATTACTGTGCTACTGATCACTTTGCTGCAGATAATTAATCTTCAGGTGTGATTGAATTGATAACTCGGTTGTCAATACTTGCAAATATTCTTCAGCTCCCCTTGTGTCGAATCTATAAATTTGGTTGAATACTCTACCCTCGAAAGTTTTGTAGTTGTCCCAGGTGCAAGTCCACCCTCGACTCGCAACTAGGCTCATACTTTTCCCAAATTGCAAGCGCTCTATCTTCTACCTTGGTTGTCACTATTTGTTTTTTTGCGTATCCTGTTGTTGGTCTAGGCATGTTTGGCTTCGCTATTGTCCCCTCGACTCGCAACTGGGGTTTGACCATTTTTTGTCCAAGTTGCAAGTCCACCCTCGATTTGCAACTGGAACCCGGTCTTCTAGTCCCAGTTGCAAGTTCACCCTCGACTCGCAAATAGGGTCCGACCATTTTTGTCCCATTTACAAGTACGTCCTTGACTCGCAACTGGGACCTGACATTTTTTTGTCCCAGTTGCAAGTCTACCGCCGACTCGCAACTGGGGCTCGACCTTTTTTCCCAGTTGCAAGTCCATCGTCGACTCGCAACTAGAGTCCGACCTTTTTTCGTCCCAATTGCAACCCCCTCAACTCATAACTAGAACCTGACTTTTTTTGTCCCAGTTGCAAGTCCACTCTCAACTTGCAACTGGGGTCCGGTTTTTTTGTCCAAGTTACAAGTATACCCTCGAGTCGCAACTAGGGCCCGTCATTTTTTTCCGGTTGCAATTTCATTGTCGACTCGCAACTGGGGCCCGATATTTTTTCCTCCTAATTGCAAGGAGGGTAGAGTATTCAACTCAAATTTGTAGATTCGACACAAGGGGAGCCAAAGAATATTTGCAAGTATTATCAACTGAGTTATCAATTCAATCACGTCTGGAGATTAATTATCTGCAACAAAGTGATCAGTAGCAGAGTAATATGATACCTTTGATAGTAGTGGTAGCAGTAACAGTAATGGTAATAGTGATAGTATAGTTTTGTGAGGCTCGAGAAGAACTAGAATTGAGTCGTCGCACAAACTTGCGAAAAGAAAATAGAAAAATGCAGTCGACGGCGAAAAAAACTAAGGCCCACTAGATGTGAGGCTCTGGAGAGGAATGTGAGTGGACTATAGACAAAAAGCGGCCGGCAACCCAATATCACGAAAACACACGATAACGGCCCGACATTGCACTAGCAACTACCTGGACATGAGCTACGCGTGGGACAAGGCTCAACAAGCAAGCGTACCAGCCAGACCATCATGTTTTGTACAAATATTAAAGACAGATGATCCAACGAATCTGGACTTAGATGTGAGGTACTCCCTTCGTTCGGAATTACTTGTCTTGGATATGAATGTATCTAAAACTAAAATACGTCTAGATACGTTCATTTCTGCGACAAGTAATTCCGAACGGAGGGAGTAGCTATTTCACATCTAGATGTGAAATAGCAAATCTATTATTTTAAAGATGATCTAGGCTACCTATCCTCATTTTGATGAGAATGAAATCTGTAATTGAACTGGGTGGGCCTAAATAACAGATAGTTTGTATTTCCTTTTCTTTGCATTTTTGTAGCTCTATATATTATCTCTGATGTAGATGATAGACACAACTCTGTAAGCAACTTTAGGAATGATAAGATGTATCTGGCAATTTTCATGCTAAACTTTATTTTTTTACAACAATAATTCAATATTTTCTCTCTTGGTTTCTTACATAATGGCGTAACGGTGCATTAATTATAAATTTGCACATTTTATTTTATTCATGTAGAACTCCATTTATTATTACGATTTGATATTGGGGGGGGGGGTGTTTTTCTCTGCCATCAATTCACACGCTTATGTGAAAAAATTATATTGATTTCAGTTTGAGTTGAATATCCAATCTCAATATGAGAAGCTATCATGAGGTTGACCTTAATTAGATCATTGCATGTGACTGAGCCTTCGGTAATTACCTTTGTGTTGGACCCAATTAAGTAAACTAATTAAACATATCTATTTGCTTGCCACTGCAAATCAAAAATTGAACAAAAATACATTTTATTGTTCTTTTATTTTTTATTGAGGTTCATGTCCACTACTCCCTCTGTACCAAAATACTTGTAGTTGGGGAAACTAGTACAAGTTCCCTCAACTACAAGTATTTCGATACAGAGTGAGTACATTATTTCATGTTGTGAATTTCCCTGGTTTATGCATACTATTTTTATTTTTACAGTCCTTTGAAGAGTAGAATTTGTTTTCTAGTGGATGAATAAGAAATTGGTTATTTTATACTTTTTTGAGCGAAGGTTACTATACTTGTATTACACGCAGGGGCCTGTGAGAGCAAAATGGGCCAGTCTACAGAAATATATGCATGATGGGTCGCTTGCCAATTGACCGCTCAAAAAACCGGTACCGGCAAGGACAGGAAAAAAAGACTCCACCGGTCCCACCCCCTCGCCGCCGCCGCCGCCGCCGGCGGCGGCGGCGCGAAGTCAGCTTGCTCCTCCCAGCGGTTCGAATCGCCGTCTTCGCTGGCCACAGTTCGCACGAACCAGCCCCCCCTTGTCGTCGGCGGCTGCCCCAGCTCCTCCCCCGGCCGATTAATCCCCTCTGGTCGCCCTCCGCCGGTTAGTGCTCTTCCTTTCGCCCTTGCTTGCGTGACTCGGAATTCCTGCAGAAACAAGTCCGAATCTTTGTCGAGTGCCTTCTTGGGCTCGGATTTGCTTCTCCTACCGGAATTTGAAGCGGTTGGTGATCTATCTGTATATAACTATAGCCAGGAGCCAGCCTTTCCTCTGCAGAAATTTGCGTCCAGCTTACTGATTATTTTTTATCAGTTTGGCCGAAGCTCCTCAAGATATCTGCAGAGACACTCTGCGAAATTTGTCAGTTTGGCCGAAGCTGAAGATATCCAATGGAGTCATGTAGTGTTGCCAGGATAATGAGCTTAGGGAAGCTTGCTATACACCGGACGTATTTGTGCACCCTAATCTTCAGAACTTTGCCAAAGATGCTAGGCTTCACTCCCAGTTTGCTGAAGAGATTCTGCAAAGCTGAACATGTTGAGCTACAACTGACCAAGAAGACTACACTGGGCACATTGCCGGAGCTGCCTCCGGACATTTTGATGGGTATCTTTGCCACCCTTGAGATCCCTGACCTCGTGCGTGCCGGCTCTATCTGCTCATCCTGGCGCTCCGCATACACAAGCCTACGGAGCCTTGGGCAGTACAAACTCCAGCAGACGCCATGTCTCCTCGACACCTCCAAATCCACCAGTGAGAGTGTTGCATGCCTCTACAGCCTCGCAGAGAAGCGATTGTACAAGTTAACCCTCCCGGAGCCGCCTATCCGCACTAGGTGTTTGATCGGGTCCTCACATGGCTGGCTGATAACTGCTGATGAGAGATCTGAGATGCACCTCGTCAATCCGGTCACAGGTGAACAGATTGCTCTCCCTTCAGTGATCACCATTGAGCAGGTGAGGCCCATCTTTGATGAGCATGGTGCTGTCCACAAGTATGAACTCTCATGGCACACTGGAATGCACGATGGTTATAACTTGCCGTCAATCTTTGATCTTGACAACCTGCGGCACGAACTCCACTATAAGGCGTATGTGTTCTCCGATGCATCCACGGAAAGCTTCATTGTGGTGCTCATCCACAATCCAATGCGTCAGCTCTCTTATGCAAGGGTAGGGGATGACAAGTGGACCTGGCTGCCACCTCATGATGTCTATGACGACTGCACTTACAAGAATGGCCTATTGTATGCAGTGACTTCAACTGGAGAAATTCATACTTTTGATCTTAGTGGGCCTGTCGCCAGTATGAAGATAATTATGGGGGCATCTGAGAATGTTTCAGCTGGCAGTGCGTACATTGTTCAAGCTCCCTGGGGTGATCTGCTGCTTATTTGGAGAATCTTTGGGTATTATGATTTAGAACCTGAACCTGGGGCATCTGTGTTTTGGCAAACAGGCAGAATTAATATGTATGAAGTTGACATGGTGGCAAGTAAACTTAAGGAAATCAATTCGTTGCGTGCCCATGTGTTATTTCTTGGGCATAATCAATCTCTTTGTCTCAATGCTGAAGAATATCCAGCTCTCAAGGCAAATCATGTCTACTTTACTGATGATAGTTTTTTCTGGACAACGGGATTGAAGAATAATCACCGTGACATGGGAGTTCTCAATTTGGATGATAATAGCAGGGAGGAAATTATATCTCCTCATCTTTGCTCCAACTTTCCAGCTCCTATGTGGATTACGGCTGATCTTAGAAAGATGAACTTGGCATCAGTAGGGGTAGCTTGAATAAGAGCTGATGGGTTCAATGAGCTAATAATGGGTGGTATTTGCAAGGTTATTGCAGATACCCAGGGAGTACTAGGACTGTGCGCGGCCATTATTTGCAATGAGCTAATAATGCCCTTAGTTTGTACACTCGACTAGCTTCGATCCAGTTTACTTTGAATAAAGAGATTTCGTTTTCCTTTGTTTACTCATGTTGTTTACTCAATGTTCCAAATAACTCTCTCCAATTTTAATGTGTCAACAGAAACTTGAGGAGTACCAAATTGCTCTCTCCATTTTTTTGGGGTATGTTCGGAACATATGGTGTATGCTCAAAACATTGCTGGGGCGGAATCAACAACGAAATCTTGCTGAAGTAGAAACAGATTTTTTTTGCTGTAACAAACAAGATTTTCATGCATACAAACAAGGGAAAAGGTCTATGTATAAGGAAGAAGAATTCCCAACAGGTTGTCAAGAAGTTGATCATGAAATTTGTTCCAGACTTCTCTACCACCTAGAAAGAAACTAATTGACCAATGTAGTTGAACAACAAATGTTCCCATTTCATACATTTACAGGCAGTTTGTGACTGGCCACTCTACACCTTTGATGCGCAAGAGAGAATTCTTGGTCCAGTAGAATGCCGAACAACATGACGCATAGTTGCCGCCTCTTTTGTTGTTTGCCTTCGCACAGTATCGGTTCCTGTAAAACTGGATTAACTTAGTTTGGTTTTATGTCAGGAACAAGAAATATAGCTATTCACAGGAGCAACTGCAGCAGCACATCTATTAACTTGAGAATCAAAAACCTACATGGTAGATCAAGCATATTGTTGCCACCAGTCAGGACCTAGCCGGTGGCAAAAGTGCGCGTGCCAGCGGACATCATCGCCGGAGCGAAGTTTGGCGACGCAGCCAAGCTCGCCACACCAAGTGCCGCCTACTTGATGCAAATAGGAGCAGTGCCTGATCATCTATGGTTAGGGCATTTCAAAATTAGCTGACTCAGCACTCAAAGGAGGAGAAATATGTTCAGGCCAGCCGGGGTATTTTCTTTTCTTTTCTTTTTCTTGATCTGGCCGGGTTAATTTTTCGGAGACAAGAAAGAGGGAATATGGGGCGGGACGGGACGGGGAGCACGGGGCATATGAAGCGAACCGACTTCGGTTGCGTTCTAGCCCACGAGGTTTTTCCAGGTGGCCCATTTGGCCCATGTTCCACTCTCTCTCTCTCTCTCTCTCTCTCAAAAAACACATTCCCTCTAGCACACACACAGAAAACTCTTCCACTGAAATAAGATATGGTTAGAGAGGAGTGGCAGCTACAACCTACAAACATCAGCAATTCAACATGGTGCATACTTCGGATCCTCCGCGATAGTGTTTCGAGGAACTACCGATCTCAGAATCCTAGAAGCTTATGCTTGCCGGGAATCCACGGCTCTTGCTGGGGATCTCGGTTTGCGGAAAATATATGTTGCATCTGATTGCCAAAGGGTTGTGAATGATATTTAGTAGCCAGCAGGGCACCGGAGGTCCTCATGGAGCGATTATAGAAGAAATAGTAGATCGAACGGCTGGCTTTCAGTCATGCAAGTTCATTCATGAATGTAGGAACTTCAATTTTGAAGCTCATAATCTCGTCAAGTTTTTTTGTTTTTACTAGGGGGCATAGTAAATGCGATAAAATAAGGACGCCAATATCTGGCGATCGGTTGCCGGGGAGTGAGGCTCCAACGACCGATTCGTTCTTTAGCTAGTCGATCGACCAGCAAACATTTTCATTCGTTGGGAACTCGGGATCGAGCGAACCAACGGCCCCTTTAGCTCCCACATTCGGCTTCCAGGCCTCCAGACTCAGTTATAATTTCCTTTGTACAAAAAAACACATGTAAAAATGATTTGTAAAGAATACACTTTCTTATAAAAAGCAGAGGAACTTTTTTATAAAAATCTCATGATCTGAAGAAAAAAAATTGAAAATTGCCATTGTAAAATTAGAGAATACTTTTCCCATAGACAAAAAAAACAAAAAAAGGCATATGTTAAAATGCCATGATAAAAAAAGCAATCTCTTAATAAACATAAAATATCATCTCTTAATAATAAAAAAATGTGCTCTCTTAATAATAAAAATTTCATCTCTTAATAATAATAATGCCATCTCTTAATAAAAATAATGTCATCTCTTAATAATAAAAAATGCACATGTTCTTCACTTAGATTTGTTTGAGCTTGTCAAAAGCAATTGCAATATATGAAACTAGTCCCAACATGATAGATATTTAAGAGGTATATAATAAAAACTTTCATGAAGATTATTGGACAAAATAAACTTGATTCATTGTAATAGTTTTGAGATATGATGATAGTGATATGTGAGTGATATTGGTGAGTAATTATGCTTTAGTAAGAATATTGGTGTTAAAGTTTGTGATTCCCTATGCAAACACAAAAGTCAATAGTTATGCAATGAAATTATATCCTACTTGTGGTGCATTATTCAGTGTTAGTTATGCTTAATGCTCGCTTATGTGATTTTTTGTTTCTTAGTTGGTTGCTTCTCAATCTATTTGCTAGTCTCCACTTGTGCATCCAAAATATTTAAACCCAGTTTTGTCATATGAGTCCACCATAGTTATCTATATGCGGTATTTTCGTGTTGTTCTAAGCAAATTTGTATGTGCCATCTCTAATTTTCAAAATAAATTTTCTTTTTGTGTGCTTGTACCGCTCATGAAGCGGCAGGAGGTGACTAAATTTTTTCATGCTAGATGTGTTATTCTCAAGATGAGTGTTTATTCACTTGTCATTGCACGAGAGTGCGACGCTAATAGGGATGCTCAGTCCCGAAATGAAAAAGAAAATTACTTTATGTTATCAAATAATAAATTTCTTGAAAAGTGTTGGTATGGACGGCACCCGTGGATACGACTAGTCGTGCAGTGTGAAAGAATGGTGGAAAATGGAATAAACTTTATTTTCTGTTTGGGTACCGCCTATGATATATCTAGGATGGAAAGTGTTGGGAATTAGTCGGTCGTTTTTGGTGACGGTAAAAGTATGCCTCTCAAAAAATTTATCTCTCAATTTAAACTTTGAGCTCTGGCACCTCTACAAAGCCCTACTTCCCTCTGTGAACGGCCTATTTATTTACTTTATGCAATTTTTATTTCTATTTGAGTCACCATCTTCTCTTATAAAGCACCAACCAATGGGCACTATGATCGTACTTGAGCATTGGATGTAGCTAATATGCGAGTGTGTTTCATGAATGAATCAATGATTGAGCATGATGGGCTAGGGATAACTTTCTTTAGTGCTGATATTTTGAAAGACATAGTTTCTTATTGATATGCTTGAGTATTGAAATCTTCATGTCAACACAAGATTATTTCTTTGAACTATATAAAAGTCCAAATGTCCATGCTACAAAAGAAAAGAATATGTGATGAACATGTTAGGCAGCATTCCACATTAAAAAATTTGTTTTTAAAATTTACCTATTCAAGGACGAGTGGGAATTAAGCTTGGGGATGTTGATACGTCTCCAACGTATCTATAATTTTTTATTGTTCCATGTTGTTATATTATCATTCTTGGATGTTTTACAACCATTTTATAGCAATTGTTTATCATTTTTTAGGACTAACTATTGACATAGTGCCCAGTGTCAGTTGCTGTGTTTTTTGCTTGTTTTGTACTTCGCAGAATATTAGTACCAAACGGAGTCAAAATGCAGCAAAACTTTTTGAAGAATTTTTTTGGACTAGAAGACACAACATGGGCCAAAGAAGTATCAGAGGGGAGGCCCGAGGTGGGCACAACCCACCTGGGCGCGCCCAGGAGCCCAGGCATGCCCAGGGGGGTTGTGCTCTGTAACACCCTCGATGCGACTATAGCTCTCACGTGTCGAGGCACGACTTAGAGATATAATCGCATTGAAGGCATATGTCGCAAGTTAGACAATCTTCACAACATCCCATGTAATATAAATAATAAAGGGGAGATAACATAGTTGGCTTACACTCGCCACGTCAATCAAGTACATAAATAACATTACATCATCCAAACACTCATGGCCCGACTACGGCGCCAAAATAAAAGAGAACCCAACATGCGACACGGTCCCAATCACCCCCAACTGGGCACCACTACTGATCATCGGGAAAGGAAACATAGTAACGTTGAGAGTCTTCGTCGAACTCCCACTTGAGCTCATACGCGTCTCCTGGAGCGGAATCATCAGGCCCTGCATCTGGTGTAATAGTAATCTGTGAGCCGCAGGGACTCAGCAATCTCGCACCCTCGCGATCAAAACTATTTAAGCTTATAGGAATGGCAAGGTAAAATATGAGTGGAGCTGCAGCAAGCGACTAGCAAATATGGTGGCTAACTTATTCGCAAAAGAGAGCGAGAAGAGGAGGCAAAGCGCGAGCGAGAAACTAGAGAGCAACCTGCGCAAACATTACTCCAACACCGTGTCCACTTCCCGGACTCCGCCGAGAAGAGGCCATCACGATAACACACTCAGTTGATTCATTTTAATTAAGTTAAGGTTCAAGTTATCTATAACCGGACATTAACAAATTCCCATCTGCCCATAACCACGAGCACGGCTTTCGAAAGTTCAATCCCTGCAGGGGAGTCCCAACTTAGCCCATGACAAGCTCTCACGGTCAACGAAGGAATAGACCTCCTCCCAAGACGTTCCGATCAGACTCGGTTTCTCGGTAATTCAAGACACTTCGACAGGTTAAAACAAGACCAGCAACACCGCCCGAATATGCCGACAAATCCCGATAGGAGCTGCACATATCTCTTTCTCAGGGCACACTCAGATGAGCCAGACATCAGGTAGGCCAGCCCAGAGTTGCCCCTGGTAGCCCCGGACATCGCTCGGTTGGACCAACACTCAGAGGAGCACTGGCCCGGGGGGAGGGGTAAAATAAGATGACCCTTGAGTCTGCAGAACCCAAGGGAAAGAAAAGGCTAGGTGGCGAATGGTAAGACCAAT